GGAGGTCAAGAAAGAACTCACAGACAGAGACATTCAAGAGGGCTTTGACATTACACTTACGAAACACAAGGGACAGGTACATGTTTGCTTGCCAAGTGCTTATGCTAATGGGAATAAGTCCTAGTTTTTGTCGTGTTCGATCGATTCCTTTTCTTATCTAGTTCCTGAGTTTTTATATATATTATTGCCATTTTAATTTTTCTTAACAGTACGCCCTACGGAAACTGTACCATGAAAGTCCAAGGCTTATATGTGTGTTATATACTGCACCAACATGTGGTCCTTGTAGAACTTTGAAACCAATTCTTAGTAAGGTATGTGATCCTTATGTGTCATAATACGTGTCATTATTATAAGCCTCTGACATGATGTTTACGCAGTTCCTTACATGCAAAGGATAGAAATGCATATTATATGTCGTTGTTTATTGTCTATGGCTCTAAGCTTTTTGAATTTATAAATTTACATCTGGGTCATCTGTGGCCATCATGCCAAATTGCACCTCAGCATTGGCAATTACGGGTTCTGTGGGTATCATTCCACAGCGAATTGATCAAGCAACTTTTTTTCAGTTCATCTGCTAGTGCAAAGATTCTCCTTTCAGAGCTTAGGACCAGTGTTCTGGGGTTATTTGCCCAGCTATCTTGCACTTGCGATTGAGAATAGTGTTTATTATTATATCACCATCATATTTGGATATTCCATGTTTTGAATCAACTTCTTTCGTGCCCAACCTGAAAATAGCAAGGCTTTATTGCTTGTAGTTAGAAACTGTCAGTAAGACATTAGTGATTGTCAAGATCCAAAAGCTTAAATCAGCAAGGGAACTGCTATATGTCTAGCTTATTCTGTTCAAATTTAATTTATTGAAATTAGGAGAATGAAATAGCAAAGTTTAAGCTTCTAACCATGTAATTATGAAAGGCTTGGTACCTTGTCAAGAAGCAAATCCATGTAAAAGCATGTAAGCTAATAGATGTCTTGGAATTTTTTTTTTTTTTTTATAATACCTAACAATAGCGTTCAGATTCGTAAAGTAGGAAATAAAATTAAGGCTAGTTAATCTTTCGTGGTTGACATCTCTAGGTTAAAATTATACATAGAAAATGAAAAGTTATAATACTTCATTGCACATTCCTATCGCAGGTGATCGATGAATTTGATCAGAAGGTTCATTTTGTTGAAATTGATATAGAAGAAGATCCAGAAATAGCCGAAGCTGCTGGAATCATGGGTACGCCATGTGTGCAGTTTTTCAAAAACAAGGAGATGCTTAGGTACATATTAAACATCGTAATTTAACATCTATGACATTTTCTTTCACCTTATGACTAAGAAAGGAAAATAGTATAGGTTGGGGAGAGTGTAGTCAATTTGTGTACTAACCGATAGGCTATTATTTATACTTGCTTAGTGGTTCATTGGTGCTGGTGGTTGCATTTTGCAGGACTGTTTCAGGAGTCAAAATGAAACGGGAGTATAGAGATTTTATTGAAGAAAATAAATAACGTATTTCAAACATTCAAGGGGCGATGCTCTCATTTTGTGATTCAATTTTGTTTTTCAAATTGGCTGGCTGAGTTATGCTGTCAATTTTGACTTCTATTCCTTTTACCAAATACCAATGTTATTGATTGTACTTTTGTATGTAGAGTTGCTAATTATATTTGTTTTTGGGCTCTTTTGAATTGGACTTGGGCTGCTAGTCTGAACCTCAAACTTCCCATTGCCACATTATAAAATGTAACAGAAAATGTTGTAGTTTCGACCAACGGGGTTAAGTTTAGTGAAATAGCTTAGTATTGTCTCTGTAAGAAAAAAAACATTGAAGTTTCCCTTTGATGTACATGCCGGCACAAGTTAATTGATAGCAACAAACAAGATACGTACATATACGCCCAAGCTTTTGTATGTGTAATTGAGGGCATTTTGCAATCCATTTCGTTTATCCTCTTGTATCATTTTCATTTATGGCACCGAAATATTTTCAAGAATTCAACAACCATACGTCCCCTCGTGGTTGCTGGCAAAGAGCGATGGATACCAAACATCGCATGTTTCGGGTCTGTTTGGTGTCTGTTTTCATTTTTATTTTTAAAAAAATTTTGTAATATAGTTTTTAAAATTATTTTTAAAACAAAGTAAAATGAAAATTCATATGATTATGTCAATTTAAAAATAGTTTTAGAATTAAAAAATAGACTAGTAATGATGGTTATAGCTAGTTAATGGTGATGATTAATAATTAAAATTAGTTAAGGTAATTATAATTTTTAATATCATATGTTGTCTATTTCAAGAACAAGAAAAACAAAACAAAAACAATTTAAAGTTATTTTTTGTAGAAAAAATAAAAACAATTTTGAAAAACAACTAGATGAAAAAAAATTGATCCAAACAAATTTTTAAATTTTTTATTTTCAAAAATAAAAAATAACTTTTAAGAATAAAACCAAACAAGCCCTTAATTTTGACTCTAAACGTCTTTACGTGTTTTTTTCCATTTCCCCCATACTACCAAAAGTCCCAAATGAGCTAAAGCACTACCTAGCATAAATAGTTATTCAAGAAAATGATAATTAAGTTTTAAAAATAAATTAAAAATTATTTTTATTCTTTAACTATATATAAAAAATTATAAATAATTATAAATTTAATTATAGATCATTTATATTTTTTTAACTTAAAAAATTTGAAACCTCATGCTGTTGAAGTAACAAATGTGCTAGTGGGCTCCGCAATTGTTGTTCTGGCTTTTTTAATAATTAAATATAATAGTGGGACCTATTTTATTTTATTTTTTAAATTTTTTTTTTTTTTTTTTACACTTCCCCACTCTGTCCCCCTCCCCACTCTCTCTCCCAGCTCCACCTTTGATCACTGAGGATGCATATACTACGTCTGTGCAATGAGCTGCATGGTTCTTTTTCGACAACTCTACTGCTTTTTGCCCCTCTATGAACTTCCGTCCTTGATCGGAGCTCTAGTCAATCGCCAGAAAATCAGCAAAGTAATAAGAGACAGCACAACGAAGCCTGATGTTACCCCGACGATAATGGAAATTACCTTTGCTCTCTTTTTGTTCCTAAATGACTTGGAGGACGGCGTGGATGAAAGGGGGGAGACGGGATTAGGACCTGCAAGATGCCCAGCGAAGCTGTTTTAAGTTATATTCACAAATGGAAAAAAGTTGGGTGGAGCCTGATGCAATCACTTTGGCCTGTGTTACTTTAGACTGTGGAGACCTTTCAACTCTATCGCTTGGAAGGAAAATTCAAGAATATGTTGAAAAGAAGAAACTATGCCCCAATTTGATATTAGAGAATGCATTGATAGATAGATATGTATGTTAGGTGTGGATGTCTAGAAGATGCAAGGAAAGTGTTTGACAAAATGAAGCTCCGTGACATTGCATCATGGACATCATTGATTTCTGCTAATGCTATGACAGGGCAAGGTTGCAATGCTATAATGCTCTTCAAAGAAATGCAATATTCACCCTCTCTCTCCTCCCTGCTTTCTCTCTCCTTGATTCCCTCTCCTCCACGTTGAGCATGCTTGACGCTTAAGCTTGACTCCCTTGCACCTTAGCCCGTCTCTGTTTCTAAGAAGAAGAAAAAAACAAGGGAGAACAGAGATGCTTCACTTCTTCACAAAAGACATCAGCTCAACAACAGCGCATGCATGTAGGGTCCTTCACGTGGAGGAGAGAGAAAGTAGAAATGGGAGATTGAGAGGGAGGAGTGGAGTGGTGCCATCGCCCACGACGATCTAGCAGCTCTTCACGAAATGCTTGTACGCGTGCGAGTCTCGGTAGGGTTGTTCATTTCTGTTCTTCTTCATATTTTTGGAAGTCTCTTGCGCTGCATATTTCCTTCAATTCTTCTTCATATTCTTGGAAGTCTCTTGCATGCATATTTCCTTCACATTTTAGCTTCTCTCAATTTGACATAGGCTTCATATCTGGGACCTCGCTCCATGATGAAATGGAGCTATCGGTGGTGGTGAGTTTGAGAGGAAAATTCTAATTGAGGGTGAGAGAAATAGGTCGAGGGCATGGAAGAGAGCTCAAGGAGACAGATGGGGAGAGGGAGAGGGAATGGAGAAGAGAGAGAGGAGACAGCAATGGCGTCCTCGCTCTAAGAACAGCATGGATGGTGAAGAAGCGGACGGCGACTTACAGAGAGGGAGAGGAGAGGGAGGATAAAAATATAGTAACCTAATGTGGGACCACAGATAATGTTTTATAATAAAAATATTTAAACAGTCTAAAAGTGGATTCACCCTGACCCACTAACGTCAGGACGGCATAACGTTAGGGTGTTGGGAGAAAGAGTCTTTTACATTGAGGGGCAAAATGACCCAAGTTAAATTTAAAATTATTTATGATCTTTTTGTGAACTTTAAAAACATTTTTTTACCCTTAACCCTTTACAAAATGAAAAAATGGTGATTAAGTTTATCACAAAACTTAAAAAAAAAAGAAGAAGAATTGTAAATATCAATTTAAATTGTTTACAAATAGAAATCTCATTTACAATTTAAAATTTGCATCTGAAACTTAAATATGTTATTTGTAATTGAATTACTAGAATTTATAATCATTTAAATAAATATTTTTAACTTAATTTTTAAAAAATTTTGTCAAGATTTCTGTTATTAATTCAATTTTTCATGATTTGTCATTCTCTCTAATTATTAAGCTATGAAAAGGGTCCCATTATTTGACTTTAGGAAGAAGTACCTTTGTAAGATACATTGACATTTTAGTACTTTGGATTGTTAAAATGTCATTTAGGTACCTTGGTCTTTTAAGTAGAATTATCACAAAGCACATTAATAAAAAGCCCTTCCTTTGATCCAAAAAGATAATTCCCTTCATGAAGAAAGTCTGCCAAAATATTTATATCATCTTTTTTTTTTTCTTTTTGCTAGTACGTATATATCACATAGTACCCACCGCCAGAAATCGCAAATCATGGATAAATATAACACATACATTAGAGCTCATCCTGATGATAAAGACTCGATGAATAACCACTTGAATTTACATGATTGCAATATCCAAAAGCATCAAATTGCAAAATTCGGGGACATGAGACCCTCTTGAGAAGATAATGGCCGGAGAGCAAGTTGCTTCTTATTGGAAGAGACAGATGGCATTTTACTTGGTGAAAATCTTGCAGCAAAGACCTTTGCGTAATGCCCCAGCATGCTTATTTTGGGCCTATTGTTGTGCCAAAGTACAACAAAGAGGAGCATTCGGTTAAGTAATAGTAATGAAAGCAACGCTGTTAAGTCCCACCACTTGCCATGATCCAATGGAACCCCAAATACCGTCTTTAGGATTTGCTCTCCCTTTACTCTTGACTCACCAGGTAGCAGAGCATCAAACTCTAGCCCCACCATGTCATTCTTGTACTGTCCCTGCGCTTCAAACCAAGATGCAGATATAAAGCAATTTATCCAGCTTGGGGTGCGAGCAGTGTTACAGTATTTGTTTTAATTCAATAAACTTGAACTTGATGATGAAAATTCAATGGCTTTGGACTATGAAATTTACCTGTACAGCCCAAGTTGCAAAACTGAGGTAGGACATAGGATAGCGCCAAAAGAACTTGGGAATGTCGGGTAGTGGTCTGAAGATTTGTGAAGACATCATCATAAAGATCTGCAACCACCACCCGTTAAAGTGACCCAGCTTTTAAAAACATAGTTATTCGAGGAAAAAGTTATAGTCAAGACCCGTTCAAACCAGACATGAATAGATATTTTTTCCCATAAGATTTATATATGGCATGTTTACATATGACGATACTAAGTTTGACAAAAGCAGAGAAAGTGGTTAGCTTACTATTACACCAGTTCCTACTCCAATGCCCATCAGGACATTGGGAACCATTGAGGCCACAACCATGATGCAGCCCTCGACAACTGATAAGCAGCAGAACAAGTTGATGCAGAAGAATGCATAATGGGTTAAGCCTGGATGAAACTGCACCATGTAGTATATGATCGTTCCGGATAAGAGCGATGTCAGAACAAGGAAAGGGAACGATGATAGGATGTTTGACAGTACAAACACGGCTTCCCCATAATGTCCTTTGGACCTTTCACCATAGAACACCTAAGTTTTGTTAAAGATTACATAAAAGAATAGTTCAGTACGATTTTGAAGTAGCTCCTGTATAGAAATCAATGGCTTATAAATTCTCAATTTACCTTTAATTCTTCAATGAAAAATGGCAATCCTCCACATGATAAACAAATCATGAAGCCGTAGATGAATGATATGCACTTTCCTCTGGCTAAGATTGAGGTGCTGTGTGTACCAATATGATAAAATTGGGTTCCAACACTGATTGAGACCATTACGTAGAAAATGATCCTGAGCCAGTAATAACCCATGTCCCTGGTCATGTTCAGGAAAGATCGTTGGGTCAATGTGCAGAGTTGCTTCCACCAAGTGCTAGTGCTTGTTCTAATGTCGGACTGAATTACCATTTCTTCCTGCGGCTGTAACAGTTTACAAATTCATCACTTTTTCATTGATCTCATTGAGGTATTCCATCAATTTCGTCCCACTAGAGCAGGGTTTTCCTCAGGAAACAGCCGATTCGAGTACAATTCTAAGTGATTTGAATAAGTAGGAAAACCCCAAGACCAACACACACACACGATACATTGCATTGATACTTGAAAAATAAGCTAGCATAATAGCATATATGTTCCCGTCCCTCATTGTATAGAAGTGGTTTGAATAATCCGTAACCCCCCACCACAAAACCGGGGAAACACACACACACACACATGTAGACACTCGTTAAAACATACAATACTTTCAACCAAGGCATTATAGCAAAAGTATTGCATGAGCTTTAAAATGTATCCAAACACTCAATAGTCTTAAAACACGAGAGCATTTTCTTAATACTATTCACCAACCACTGATTCAGAGGAATGTTTAATTACATTTTGAAGTCTGTGGCTGTTTTATTAAATTTTAAAATTGATTAACCGATTTTGTAACCAAGACTAAAGTCAAGAAGTCAAATGTAATTTTCTGCTAATAAAATATACTAGTGCTAAGCATGAATTTCGTACATCAGATATCAGATCTTGAATCTTTCTTCTTGCGTTGACCATTATCTCTGATGTTTTGTAACTGTGAATAAGGGCCGCTCTACCCTCCGATGTTTTGACGTCCATTGCAGAATTCGATGATGTTGCCTGTCAATGACAAATTGACAATTCACATTCAGGAGCTTGACTATAAATTTCTGAAAAGAAACAAGCTACTAATCCAGAACATACAATCAATTCAAAGTCCAGATTGACGCATAGAAGGAAGTGATCTGAAGGGTTTCTTCTTGTTGGGCAGGGGAAGCCTGCATTAGCAAAAAACTATTCCCAGCACATATAAGGACTCAAAATTTCAACTAGGTTCATCGAAAGATGTTCTGCTTATAAATCATTTACCTCTAAAGCCATCTTGGCCTCGCCGAAATAAACAGTTTCTCCACCTGAGAGCAGAAGCAAATCATCAAACAGATGAAAGATTTCATTACTCGGTTGGTGAATCGAACACATAATTATTTTTCCGCCCAGAGCTATCTGGCTTAGGGATTGGATTACGTAGAAAGCCGAGGCACTATCGAGTCCGCTGGTAGGTTCATCGAGAAATAACACGCTAGGTTGCGTGAGAATCTCAAGGCCAATGCTCAGTCTCTTCTTTTCACCATTACTGATTCCTCGCAAATGCCAGTTCCCAATATGATTATCAGCACATTCTTCAAGTCCCATTTCCATTATAGTGCGCTGAACCACCTGACTTATCTCTTCTTTGGTCATTTTTGAAATCAACCTCATTTTCGCAGAGTATGTGAGAGTTTCTCTCACCGTCAAAGTTCCCATGAAAGTCTCTTCTTGAGCAACATAAGACTGAAAATAGGAAGCGTCATTGCATTAGTCAATTGTTCTCGTGAAAATGTAATGCACACTTTTTTGTCTATAACATGACAATATGATTCGCAAAATTTGTTCAGTACGGTGCGGTAATTTATTATGGATACCTGCTCGTAGTCTAAATTTAAAAATTAAAAATTAAAATTATTTTAAAAAATTTAAACCAGTGTAAAAATTATATTTATTTTTAATTTTGTATTTGCCAAAATAAAAATTTATTAAAAATATTAAAAATTAATATTAAAACTCGATTGTCCAGATGGATTTATATAAATTATAAAACCCTTTAATAATCAATGAATTATTCAGATTAAATATGTATCGTCCTATAAAAAAATTATTAAAAAATATAAAATAAAAATTTAAATATTGACTATTCAAATTTTAAATTTGGACAATCCAAACCATAGTGCTTATGTGGATGATGAGCATTAAAACTAATTTCTTATATAATGTAGTATTTTTTTTAGAGGGTGAAAGTTAGGTTGGACAAAATTTTATAAAAAGTGAATTAAAAATATCAAGATGATTGTTGGCAAAAAAAAAGAAAAGAAAATATCAAGATGATTGCAAATTATATAATTTTAATTGAAGATAAAATATTTAAATTTTAAATGTAACTTATAACTGGGATTTTTGTTTGTGTAATTTATACATGCCACTCATTTTTTAATAAAATTATCAAAAAATTAACTATCATAGATTTTTTTTTTTTTTTTAAGATCTAACTATCACTGTTCTCTCTACTTTTTCCCCGAACGCTTAGTTTGTGGCGATTTTTGTGAAGCGGTGGCCTGGTGGGGCTACTTTAAAGTACCATCTCTCCATGATGCCACTTTCTCTTCTTCCCATTAATTAGGATGTCGCCGGTCACTGAAGCATTTGCATGAGGTCTTCCTGTACAAAACGTCAATGCAATATTACCGTTATTAAGGAAGAAAATTATGCAAAATTACCCAGATAAATAATCTTTCTACAAATTTTATCTTATGCTTTCATACAAAAAAAATTCTTTTGCCAACTTACTGAAAATTATTTATTAATACAAAATATGAACATCTTCATATGTAATACGATTTATTTTAAACTCCAAGAAATGCACTAAAAATTTATAGATCTAATTATAATAAATATTATTACATCAACAATCATTGATATTAATATAGCCAATATTACTAACGATATGTTAACATAAAAATAATAAAATTTGGAGCAAAAACTGTGTTTTTCTATAAACCATGAGAAAGAATAGCTCATCTTAAATTTAGTAATCTTACTGTATTTTTAAATATAGAACAAAAAATTTGCAATAAATGACAGCATTCATAAGTTATGAATAGAAAAAAAAAATTATATGTTTAAACTTATATATCAACAAGAACTCGATTCTTGTTTATTTGCAAGCTCTCACACACACACAGGAAACAGTTGTTTGTGTTCTAAATAGATAAAACTAGTTACTAAGGATAGTTGGGGGAAAAAAACACTAAAGATATAGTGAATATTACATGTTGTTATACAGGGTTTGTAAGTAGGATAAAAAGTTCAAAATTTCTTAATTAATATAATAAAAAAAAAGCTATATATCGTGAATCTTGTATCATGCGAAAAGACATTTTTTGTCGTGAGATAATCAAACGGGATCAAAAAGCAAGTGTAAATGAAAAGCGAGAGAACAAATCTTAATGCATGTTATTTACTCTTTTTGGTGTGTGTGTGTGTACCATTTTTCCATACATGTATATGACCGAAGAACTTCAAGAATGATGCGTGCGCGTGTAGAGAGAGAGAGAGAGAGAGAGAGAGAGAGAGGAGTGACCGGAAAGAGAGTGGAGAAGGGTGGTCTTGCCGGAGCCGGAAGGACCCAAGAGAGCAAAGAGACGAGCAGATTGAGCGAAGGCGGTGGTCGGATGGAGAAGCACCCTCGTGTCGGCGGCGACCTGCACGGAGAGATCTTCCCACACAACGCTCCTGAGCCCCATATTCTCAATTTCACTCTCTCTCGTATCGTGTCTGCCCTCCGCACCATGCAATCCATTTCCATTTATATAATAAAACCTTGCAAATGGGATTATTCGACCCATCCATCAATGCATTATTGCATGCTGTTACCACTGCCACCTACTTCTATGAACAGTTCGTTTTTTCATTTTCAGATGTCAAGTCACCTGATAATTACGTGTTTGATTTAATCAATCAGCGGAATTTGATGATGTCGCTTTAATTGCCAAGCGGCTTGCAATCTGAAGCCGCAGATCGCAGGCGCTTGTCTAACTAAATATTCCCTCCCGTCATTTATAAGATATTTTTTAAAAATAATTTTTAATTTAAAATATATAATATCTTATAATAATTATATTTTTTAAATTTTATTCCTTTTTAATTAATGTAATAGTATTTAATATAATTGTATTATTATTTAAAATTGAGGATAAAAATAAAAATACATTTTATTTTTTTATAATATCAATAAAAAAATTAATTTTTTTAAAATACTTATAGCAACAGTTAAAAATATTTTATAATAAAAACTGAATAAAATATATATATATATATATATAAATAAATAAATAAAGGCTCTACAGTAAATTCACCATTCATGATTTATGGGCCGTCACCATACATGCCGTACCTTTCTTTAGTATCTCTGCCCACAGCCTTATCCCAGTTTTAGTTATATCCAACGTCAAATAAAATTAAATTTAATAATTAATATATTATACAAAATAACATAAATTTAAGTTTTGAGATTATAAATTAAAATCATGTAATGTCCTTCCACTCCTCTTCATTCACTTCTCCTCTCTTACTGTTTCTAGACGGTATTGCTTCCCAGTCTTAATAATGACAATTAACGAGTTCATACAATGTCCCCATTTCCCTTTCAAATTCGGACCCCCGGCTGTGAGAACATGAGAGGAAGTGAAGACTCAATTTCGTCGTCCATGCCACATATTTTGAAACCTTTGATACGTCTCTCTAGATTGTCTTGCTATAAGCACTGCTAAAAAATAACCTTTGTATAGCGGTTATTTTGACACATATATAACAATTTGAAAACCGCTATAGATTGAGGTTATATAGTCTGAAAGAAATTATATAGCAATTATATAGCCGTTATATAATTTGTCTTTATATCATGGCTAGCTACTTGCACATAACTATTTTATAATTTGTTTCAATTGCGAGCGTCAAGATCATTTCAATCAACTATTTAGCAACTTCTTAAAATAATTGTCAAATATTTGTCATATATTCAACGATTTTATCATAAAAACTGTTATATAGTTAGGCTTAGTTTTAATTTTACACAGGTTGCTTGATGAACTATATAATGAATATTTCAAAATAACTATTATATTGTTCTGTCTATATAATTGTTATATATATTGAATTATATAGTAGTTATTTTAAAATAAACTCTTTATAGTTCAATTTTTTAAAAAATAAGGGGTTGCATTTCGAGCAATTCCTTGCAAAATATAATACAAACATTCCCAAAATTGCAATCCAACAATGGAGTTTCAATCTCAACCAAAATTCATATGCAATTAAAATCAAAAATATTCAAACATATAATAACTTATATAATTTATTTAAGGGTTTAAGATGCAAAAATACTCACCAAGTGGTCAGTCAGAAGCAACCAATAACCTAAAATGAGAAAATGAGAAAAAATACATATAACGTTATCAAAGTTGGTGCAAAAGTGATCAATCCATTAACTTTATCCTAACAAAACTAATTTTCAGTTTGATCACTTTTGCACCAACTCTGATAATGTTATGGGTGTTTTTGCCATTTTTCTTACTTCAGACTACTGAATGCTCCTAACTAACCACTTAATGGGTATTTGTACTTGGATTTTATTTTAACATAAACAACTCTTGATCAATTTTTTTAATATGTCTAATGAGTATAAATTTTTTAATTTAAATTTATGGACTATGAGTTAAAATATCATTTATTTAGGAGGTTTTTGAACCCAGATATTGTTTAGGGAAAATGACAATTGAGGACTTCCTAAAGACATTGGTCCCAATCGAGAACTATAAAATATAAAAATCTCAATTAAGGACCAATAGGATTTAAAAAAATGTAGATTGTCTTAAATGCTCTTGAGAAAAAAATATCAAATACCTGCACGTGTAGCCCTATCTCTTGCTCTGTTTCAGCATTTTCTTCTTTCTTCTTTCGTTCTTGTTCTTTGTCGTTCCTTGGCATATTAGCTTTAGTGTTGTGAACACATCATGCTAGATCTAGGATTTGCTATGGTTCATCTTCGTCAGAGCTTCGTACTCTTTCCTCTCTCTTGCTCGGCTCTACCCTTTTCAAATGATAGTCGCATTGGAGAAAAGATTGATTAACAAAACTAAAGAAATTGTTGATGATGAGAACACCATTAAGTGAAAGAGTACACTATGGTGAAGAGACTGTTTAGAACAAAAACTTACAATCTAAAAATGAGGAATGTAGGATTGGCTATTCTAATAAATGAGAAAGAGAAACTCTCCCTAAAAAATAAAAATGACGTCTACATGTATTTAAATCAGTGTAATATAATGTTAATGTCTATTTCAGGTTTAAATATTTGCAAGTGTAAATGCTATCATCACATAAGACTGCTGAAGTCACTAATGTAGTATAGGAATGTTACTACTGTAACTAGTGAAAACATAAAACTTCACTTGAGAATAGATTTTTCTGTAGTATTTTAAACTTTGAAGTGTAAATGCTGTCATAATATGAAACTCACTTTTGAAATATTCCAAAGCTGCTTATGAAAATACAAACATTACTTAAGAAGTCACTAACTTCAATATAGAATATGAATACTAATGTGACTAATCAAATTTCAGTAACCCAACTTGTTAAATTATAATCTACTAACATCACTTGAGAATTCACTAACCCAACCTAGAACAATGGCTAATTTATATTGTGAAAATACGAAACTCCACTTGAAAATATATTGTTTAAGAAAAAGTGACTTATCTAAATTGAGATCTAGTAAGATCACTTGAGAATTCACTAACCTAATTTGAAAAAATGCCAACATATATTGTGAAAACACAAAATTTTACTTGGAAATAGATTGTTTAAGAAAAATGACTTGTTTAAATCGGGATCCAGTAACATTACTTGGAAATCGACTAATCTGACTTGAAAAAATGTCTAACGTATATTGTAAAAATACAAAACCTCACTTAGGAATAAATCATTTAACATGGACATGTATTTTAATTTACTTAATCTTGAATTTAACTATACTATATTCCTTACTAACTAGATTAGAGTCTGAAAAACTCAAAAAATTTTATGCAGTCATCAACTTCATCTCTTATTTGTCCCATTGGAATAGAGTTAAATAACAACATTAAATTCATTATGGGTTATTATATTTGCATTAGCTGGTTCTACTTATTTATTATTGCCCTTTATTTAGTATTTGGTATTAGTTCAACTCCTATGTGCTACGTTTATTTTTGCTCCAGATTTATTACTCAAAGCTTATTGATAATACTATCATAGATCATTTTTTATCTATCATAATGATTTTGTATTATGAATATTTTTTTCTATTCATCCATTAAAGCGTGTTTGGTAGAGGTTATTGAAGGTGAGGAATGAAGGAACGATCCAATTTGTGTGTTTCGAAGATGTCATTTTTATTTTTTTAAGGAAAGTTTCCTTTTCTTGTTTGTTAGAATAGCCAGTCCTACAATCTTCATTCCTGAGTTGCAAGTTTCTATTCTAAACAATCTCTTCACCGCAGTATTCTCTTTCACTCAATGGCGTGCTTATCATCAACAATTTCTTCAGCTTTGTTAATCAATCTTCTCTCCGACGGTGGCAATGTCACTATCATTTAAGAAGAGTGGAAAGAGTATGAAGCTCTGATAAAAATGAACCACAGCAAATCCTAGATCTGACATGATGTGTTCACAACACTGGAGCTAATATGCTAAGGAATGACAAAGAATGAGAATGGAGGAGAAAGAAAGAATAAAGAAAGAGATACCGAAATAGAGCAAGAGATAGGGCTGCACACATAGGTATTTGATATTTTTTTTTCTTAGGGACATTGAAGATAATCTACATTTTTTTAAATCTCATTGGTCCCTAATTGGGATTTCCATACTTTATAGTCCTCAATTGAAATTAATGTTCTTAGAGAGTTCTTAATTATCATTTTTCTTATTGTTTATTAAGTCTAGAGGATTTAAAATTTTGAAACTAAGAATGCAAGATTGTAATTTTTGTATACCATTTATGTAATTTTTTCCATGTGCGGGGTGCATCCGTCGTTGTTTCCAAGTTTAAGAAGACTTCAAAAATTCAAAGTTGAGAACAAGTGCAGCATTTGTTAGGTGAGTTTATTTATTAGAATCATGTTTTTGATTTAATGGTTTGTCACATTGCACTGCATTTATAAATGAGCCTAGGCTTTGATATTTAAATCCACATTGCTTGCTGTGGGCAGGAAGAATACAAAACTAATGATGGGATGAGAAGGCTGAGTTGTGAACATAACCATCATTATATTGGTCTTTACACGGTCATGAATATATCATCCATGACACTTAGCTCTAAACACAGACTTTGCCTTGTCATCGGCTCCCGTGTCCCAACAGGCTCGCCTAATTTGACATTTGAATTTGGACGAACTTCAAGCAGAAAAAATAGAGGAGGAAGATGGTACAGGGCTTGGACATGAAGATCGTAAGGAAAGCCAAACAAAGTACATGAACAAGATCCAAGTGGAGCAATTTCCAGAGGTTCAAAATCCGAGGTGGTGCTGACATGGGTGAAACGTAAGCAACAGTTAAAAGTTAACAGAGATGTGACATATAAGCATTGTTTTTAAAACCAGACCGGACCGATCGGTCCGACCGGTGAACCAGTGACCCGGCCATGTGTCCGGTCCGGTTTTCTTTTTATTTTGTTTTAAGTTAACCCGGGTTAACTCGAGTGACCCGCGGATTAACCCGCCCAACCCCTCGGTTCAGGTGGGTTGGGCAGGTTGAAATTTAAAAAAAAAATTGATAATGATTAACCAAGATGTATATTTATTTTTGATATAATAATGATTAATGATAGGTCAATAGGAGTTATAGGGTAAAAAAAATATACTTATGTCAGATAAGGGGATGAAAGAAGCAAAAAGAAATCAAAAAGTATAAATATATATTATATTATATTATTTTTTAATTTGAATTATTTAATTAAATAATTTTTAAAATATATTACTTTCATTTATGATCTTTTATTTTAAAATAATTTTTTATTTCTATTATTTTAACTCATTGAAATTTTTTTATCATTTAGTTAACCTTATTTTAAAAAAATATAGAAATATTGTTATACTTTATTATTGTTATATGTTATATGAGATATTAAAACTTGATATGTATGAACGTATTGAGAATTAATACATTTTTTATTTAAATTATATTATTTTATTATGACCGGTCTGACTCCGATTTGTCCCCCGATTGAACCCATGACCCTTGACCCCTGAGTTTGGCCGGTTCAATGACCGGTCCGGTTTTCAGTACTTTGCATATAAGCAAGGTTTAATTTCACCCATTAACAGCAAGGATAACATTTTTAGAGGGACCAAAGGAACTGAATCACAAATTTAAAGTACTGAATTATAGCTAAATTAAAAATTTAAAAATTAAATGATTATTTTTTTTCTATATATATATATATATATTATGCTTGTCCATCGGTTATATTTTCAAATTTAACATAATTTTCTCAAATTATTTTTTTAAACGTATATTTAATTTTTTTTTTTGTATTTTGATATATATTATTATCTTTATGCATTTTTTGGTGTCAAGCATTTAAATTTTTTTAAAACATTTTAATGAATATTGTAATTTTTCAAAATTTATTTAACATCAATAAATTGAAAATTGGTACTTTATGCAGAAAAATTAAATTAAAGTATACAAATAAAAAATTAATGGCTCAAAACCTCAAGCTAACCCCCCTGCCTTTCAAAAAAAAAAAGTCCGGGAAATATTAAAATATAACTGTATTCACCTTTAGATGAAATGAAAGGAACCCATCAAAGTATTATCCTTTCTTTTACTTTTTTTTTTTAATTTTACCAGACCTTATACTTACACAAAATAGGCACCGATTACAAATATAGATTTAATTACAAATCATGTAACGATCTTAGACGGCTAATTGGTGAGAAGGAAAGGAGGAAATATTCAAATGTAAAAAACCCACGGAGGGGAAGCATCAATGATGTTATCGTCAAGGATAAGGACTAAGCAAAGCATGAGGAACGTCATCAAGAAGGAAAGGTCCAAGTTTGCCGGTCCTAAATAGAGTAAGGAACTTCTTGGATACCATTAAACGTGCTTCCGAAGCCTTGTGAGGTATCTTCAACGCCTTCTGCAACGCACTAAATTGCTGCTCAATCAGATCCTCTAAGTCGCCCTCATCTTCTATGTTCCCTTTGAATTCCGTCAGTGTCACGTACAGTGCTCGTTGAACTTCCATTACAAGATCCTACAATGCAATAACATAAACAAATATAAGAGTGGCAACCAAAGGAACATGATCCAGTTCACGTAAATATTCCATTTACCCATGAGAGAAATTTTTAGGAAAATGTGGTGTGTTACCTCAATATAAACCACGTCAGATTTATTTGGCGGATTTATCCCCTTTCGCTTAAGGCTTTTCAAATTGTATTCATGCTTTTCCTCATAGTCATACCGAATCCCTTCCATTCTCCTATTATTCAGATGCTTCCAGTGAATTGGAGTCCCTCGGGTATTTAAAACTGCCAGTAAGTATTGAGCAATACGCTCCTCACCCACCACTGAATCTTTCACAGATCCTGCTAGCACATACATGTAGTCAAATAACAAAACAACCTTAAGAAAGAAATTCAAGATAGATCATTTTAGGATATACTACCTGCAAGAGCCAGCTTTAATCCTGTTTCTATGTCTGGGATGCTTGGAACCAGCACCCCGGGAGTATCTAAGACATAAATGCTGGGGTGGTGTGCTATCTGGACGTTAAGTCAGAGTCAGAGTTTAACCATATGTCCATATGCATCATTAACCCACATACGAGCATAAGCAAACACACAAATAAAAAATAAATAAATAAAGACCAATGACAAACAAAAAGATGGAATGGGTTGGAGAAAGCCAATGCGTTATTATATCATAAAGAGAATTGACAAAGCTGTCAGAAGCAAAGCAGTTCTCATTTCCGTTTTGCCTTTCACATATAAATTATAATCTTCTGGTCAAGACTCTACCTGTTCAATATCATGACTTGTCAAAATTGTGTCAACTGAATTTGAGACAAGAAAAACTAATACAACTATGCCACTACTAAATGATGTAATAAACTACAGCAAACCCGAAAGGCCACAACAAATACGAGGATCTAATGCATACCACCAATAGGAATACAAAGAAAGGAACAAATTATTGTCTTGAGATCACTATACCTTGTATCCAGCAATATCTTGAGTAACACCAGGCAGTGGACCCACAGTAGCTCTCTTCATCTTCTCCTGCACTATGAAAGCAAATTAAAACATCAACAACCGCACATCCCCTTAACCAAATTAAGAAAAGAAAAATCCGACAGCTTGACATTTATTAAAATTGAAACTTTCAATTGCTATGCCAAATTTTTACCCGGAAAGCGAGACAATGCAATTTGATGAATTGAATTAATCAAAGCTGACTTCCCAACATTTGGAACACCAATCACCATAACAAGGAGTGTAGGTTCCCTGAAGATCACTTCCTTCAATTTGAACTCGACAAGATCGAGAAGCTTCAATACATGGACAAGAAAGATCACAACAAGGGATAAATTAGTACAAAATACATCAACTTTATGAAAATCACCTACCTTGTTCAGAATCGTATCCATTTTTAACATGCACATTGGACCTGTTTTTCTAATGTACGGGGGAAAGGTGAAACTTGAAAGACCGGCGTTTCAAATTATGCACTCACTATCATGTAATTGAACAACGTCAACATAACATAACATATAACATAATTACATGGATTATGGAACATTACAGTAGAAGGATTTCCCCCTTCAAAAGATAGAAATGCAGAGAGCAGTAGACAACAGTAAATATGTAATGATCAGATCAATAATACTAACTAACCTTCTTAACAGAGCTCTTGCTATGGGCGCTTATAGGAATACAATCTTGCTTGCACGAGTCGAAATAATGTATCCATTTCTACAACAACAAAACCAAATGGCAACACGACTCATAAATGGAGGGTAAACCGCTTCATAGAACATCAAACATTTTCTGAAAACGATGAAAGGTCACTAGAATCTTCCCGAACTGATGCATCAATGGAGTAAGGAGCAGGACATCTTGGTAAGGGATGAATGGACATCAAGCAAGCAAAATACGAGGGTCGTACATGCATAATATTGGGGTTAGCCAAGTCTTTTTTATTAAGTGCAATGACACGGCGCTTCCCGGAGAGCTGAGGTTGAAGATCGGCGTGAGCAGAGGACAGAGGAATGCGCGCGTCTCGCACTTCAATGACGAAGTCAGCAACCTTGAGGCGCTGGCGAATAGCGTGAGTGGCGGCCGCCATGTGTCCCGGGAACCAGTTGATCACTCCGCCGTCGGCCATGAAGCCCATCTCTCCCAACCCTTTCTTTAGGAGTCCCTTCAACCCACCCATTCTTCTTCTTCACTGCCCACTCGTCCACGAATCACGAGCACGCAAGCTGGGACCGTTGAATCGCCGTTTCCAGACGGGGAAAAAACATCACTTGCAGAGATTTAGGGTTTAAGAAGTAACAATAGAAGCATGACATATTAACACAACTAATTTATAAATAGCAACTGCATTTCGTTTGAATCAGAGTGGAGGTGTTGGCGTGTTATGCTTATGGTGGAAAATGGAACTCGGCTACAAAATTTGAGGGCATCGCCGATTAAGTCCGAAGTAGGAGGACGACACTGGTCTCTGAGCTCGAGGACTAATACATCACCGGGCTGGCTTTTCTGAATTTGTCAGGTGTGGGCCTCGATGAACTCAAGAATCGGCCCGCAAGTGTGTACCCAAACCCAAATTCACATTTCGTACTGGGCCGCAAGAGTCGAGACTTTAGTCACATCAGATCGTGAAAATGACGACGCGCGGTCTCTATCTTTCGTCAGACTATCAAGCATGAGCAACATGTAAATGAAGGATAGATTGAGTGAGCAATTCCTTCTAATAATATTATCGAACGACATTCAAATATAATAGGACTGAATTGGGGTACATCTACCAACAGCGCTTTCTGCATTTAGCAATTCACATGTAATCAAGTGAGGAATTCTAGATAACCCCATTTTATTAACTTAACGGTAACATATATGGCCCATGAGAAAAACGAGGACAAGGGATACAGGATAGTGGCTTGGAATAAACAAAGTTCAATGAAATCTATAATGGTGTATCCCACGAAGGTGATCACTTTCCCTGTGTGCTGGAAATTTCTCTGCTCCATCGCACCACTGTGTGTTTACACTTTCATCAGCATCCATTAGTGCTCTCCACTCCCCACTCCTCCCCTTTTCTGCTTCTTCCTTCCTCCGAACTTACCTTTCTGAAAACCACATGGCTTGACAAATGCTGTAACTGTTCCATGAATGGTGTGCTTAGCTTGCGTATTGATTAACATCAAGAATTTTAGGATAATAATATTTTAATTACAAACTCAAACCATTCTATATTAATAAACTACATGATACTTTTTGTGTATGCATCATATTAACTAGGAAAATTTTCTCACATTACATGAAATTTGACGTTAGTCACACTGTTTGGGTCAAAAATATTAAGATTAGAGTTTCCTTTGATTATTAGAAATGAATGAAATTGAATAGATTGAAAAAATTCATACAAAAATAAATTAAATCACTTTTCTTCCTCGTAATAAATATGATAAAATTTAATAATATATATTACAAAGTGAGAATTATCACACCCTTTATAAATATTATGAATTATGATTCTCAACCTAATGAATAAAATTACTCCTCTCTCTTATAAACGTGGGTTATCATCTCTTTTAATCATCTCATTTTTATTTTTATTTTTTTGATTCATTTTATTTTATACATTTTTAATAACCAAACGAGACCTGGGTACGTATGTAATCATATTATATATTGATATATTGATATCAATGACAAGTATGAAATATAAATGCCTATAATAAAACTGGATATACTCATTATTTTTTATTTGTGATAGTTCAATTGATCCGATGCATGTATCGATTCTGGAAAAAAAAAGTATATTTTTTAAAATTAAACATGAGTAATGATTAAAGTCTATTAAATTTGAAGTTTTTTTTCTTTTCATGTTTACAAATCATTCTTTAAAACATATGAAGTACAGAAGTAATTAGTAATTACCCTTCACAAACACACACACGTGTATGTGTGTATTATGTTACAATATTTTATATCACACTCAGTTAAAAGCATGCTTGAAAAGATTAAAAAAGTAGATTGAAGGACATCAGCTATAGAAGGTGATTTGTAAATAAAAACGGATACATAATTCATCGTCAGCAAAAATTGAATCCGTAATTCCACTAATTCAACTAATTAACAATTATCACGTGATCCGTGCTAATAATTGTCCCTCACAATTTTATTTTTTCGCCATTTAATAAGAATTGCAATGCTCAATGCTGCGCGCACGACTGCACGTTTACATTCCCATATCGCATAAGCTCACAATCGCGCTCGCAATTATTTAAAAAATTTCTGGTCACGTTTTGGCCAACTATTCAAAACTTCTTAATTCTAATATTACGACTAAGTCTGAAGACAATCATTGAGGGAAGAAAAATATCATTCCATTTCCAGTCGTATCATTAACAATATCAGGATTTACTCACTGCTAAGTATCAATCAAAAGTATAAATATCTAATAAATAAATCACATATATATATATATATATCTCGTGATTTTGTACGAAGAAAGCAAAGCTTTAAAAAAAAAAAAAGACGAGGAAGAAGAAGAATAAAACACCAAACTGGCAATCCTAAACATTACTTCAACATTACAATTATTTATCTTAACCTATTCCGAACAAACTTTGCTTTCATATTCTCAACAGAAAAATACTAAGTTCAGGCCCTCCGTTGCCATCGGGATTCAACATATAAAATGCCTCCGAGTCACGACTTCCCACAACTCGTTCAAACCTCGCTCTCATGTACAGCAACTCGCCCTCTGACCCGCCGCCACCTTTCCTCGAGATCCCGTCCTCCACCACCGGAATCACCCCGGCTCCGACCGACACGCTCTGCACCGTGCTCAGCACGTGCCAGTCGGATTCCCCGCACCCGCGAGACACCGCATACCCGCACTTCCTCCCGTTACAGTACATGACCCAATTCGGCTCCTGGAACAGCTTCCTGGACCGGCCTCCGGCCTGGGCCGTGGCCTGAAGCTTATCGCACTCCAGGGCGATCCGGACCAGACCGGACGACATCTCCTTGACCAGAGAAGAAGTAGACATAGCGAGCTCGAGCAGTAAAAGGGGCTCCGACCGGGGTTCGAGCTGGACGGCGAAGGAGACGTGGCCGCGGCGATGGCCGAAGAGGGTTCCGGTGACTTTGCGTCCGAGGGAAGGGGTCACGGAGAGGTGGGAAGGAACGGCGAGCCATTTACAGGTGGGGATGATGGCGGGGAAGGTGAAGATGTTGAGGAAAGTGCGGAGGAGAGAGGAGAGCCTGGTCTGAGACCTGGGGTTATCATGGCGGAAAGAGACAGAAGGAGAAGAGCCTCTGCGCGCGAGGAGGTTATCGGAGACGGAGAAGTCGTCGGGATCGGAAGGACGAAGAGTGTTGTGATGAATATTAGAAGGAGTGATTCTTCTGCTGCTGATTCTGGTTGCAAGGGCGCTGGCGCTGGCGCTTCTCTGGAAAGTGTAGTCTTGCTGTTTCATGGCGGAGAAAGAGGGACAGAGAGGGAGAGAGTGATGGAGCGAAACAGAGACGAGGGCTTGATACAGGGAGAGAAGAAGTGGGAGGAGTATGATTCAAGGATGGCAAATGAACAGAGAGAAGCGGGGGTAAAGGAGCCGACAGGGTGATGATAGTGTTGGTTGAGCGAGGAATATAAAGGGAAGCTACGGAGGCTTGTGCATCTAATGATGAGGATGGGTTAGACTGTTTTTGTTTGTCTTGTACACGGTGAGCCCGAGCCTTGAGAGAAGCATTCTGTGTTGACACTAGGGGGGGGTCCTACACCAAAAACAAGGCATCTTTAATTTTCCTTTGCGTGCATGCTCTTGTTACTGTTGTATCCACCAAACCAATTGACGAGTGACGGCCTCGTCCCGTCCAGCTGGCCTCGTTCATAGAATATTCATTCACACGGCAACTTCGCCAAACACCTCGTAAGCACGAATCCTTTCTCAATAGTTCTGGCCGTTTCGCTGTTTCCGTGTCACTTCCAGGATTTGATACGTCATCCGGATCTAATTTAATCTGACGCTCGCTCGTTAAACTGTGTAAATGAGAGGTGCTAATTAATGATCAGCATGATATATAGTTTAATGAACCCGAGGAATATGTTTGGGGGTTGATAAGATCCTGAAGGGTGTGCGGGAGCTGGTTTTGATCTCGAAGAATATGAATGAATTAAATAATGTTGCAAGAGATTTGTAAAAGCGGATTCAAGTCGAGCGTGGTTGATGAAAATGAAAGAGGAAGAAATAATGATCGTTATGGTGGAAAACCCGGGCGACATGGAGAGTCCAGTGCAAATGAAAATGGAGGGCTAGTGGTGGGCGGGAGCTAGTTGATCACTTCTGAATCGTTGATATTTAATCTAGATTTATAACTTTTCATATTTTTTAAATAAAAAATTATTTTTTTGAAATACTTAGAGTTAAAATACTATCTTTATTTTATATTATGTATTCATTAAAATAATTTTAAAAAATTAAAGTAAAAAACTGTAAATCTATACTATTTAAATTAGATCAGAACAATTTAAAGGCGATGAATTCTGACTCAGCCCAGAGACATTTGTATGATAGACAGTGAAACTAGTTTCATGGGATACTACCCATCCTAGAGACAAGCACTCATTGAAAAAGTTAATGTATGTAGAAATTAAATAAACATCTTAAGCTTTTATTCAAAAAAAAGAATAGTCATTTGATTCCTATTGACTCAGTTGTAACTTAATTTTATAGTTTTAACTCAATTATAATTTAATTTTTAAATTTTAACTCTTACAATTCAGTCCTTATGTTTTTAATCATTTAAATATTGATCCCTGTGGCTTAAAAAACAAAACTATAAAAATTAAAATCATGTTAAAATTTATTAATAATATTTTAAATCAATAAACCTTTTAGTCTTTATAAATATTAAAATTTTAAAATAGTTTTTATCTTTATAATTTTATTTTTTAAAAATATAAGAACTAATGTTTAAATGATTGAAACTATGAGTACTAAGTTGCAAGAGTCAAATTTAGATATAAATTACAATTAGATTAGAACTATAAGAATTAAATAATTATTATTTTTTGGTTAAAGGGCAAAAACGCTCTGAAATGTTTTCTCTATGGGCACTTGGCACCATAATTTTTTTGGAGCATTTTTGCCCCCAAACATTTCAAAAGGGGAGCATTTTTTGCTCACCGTTGAAAATCACAAACGTTGATTATTAACTGAAATTTGATCAAAGGCTAAATGATATATTTATCTTAAAACTTTTTCTCCATAAGCACTGGGTACCATGAATTTTTGTTTGAAACTTTTTTGCCTTGAAAATTTCAAAAAGAGAGTAATTTTGCCCTGTCATCAATATTAATTATTACTTTGACTTTAATTGCCACATGTAACCATGCAACATTTTGTTAAAAAAAACCACCTATATAGAAAAAACACCTCCATTAACATCAATGACAACATCAAGAAAAACTTCATAAGCAGCATGCAATTTCAAATCATCCAAACTCATACATATACCTAGAAACAATCAACTATTTATTGAGTCAATTTACATGAACTCGGCTATGTGGAAGCTCTATTCTTTTATATTCAATAATTCTATTATCTCACTCAACTATGACGACTTCATGAACTCTGACATTGACTCGAACGCTTTTAAGCACTTCATAGTGTCAAACTACAAAAGTTATTTCAAAGTCGTGATTTTTGCCGCTGTTAGAAAAATACTGCATTTTATTAATCTAAAATTGGTTGGATAGAATACTTATATGCAAGGAGCTCGACCCAGAAGGCATTCTTTAGACTTCGAGCAACATTTGGAGCTTTATGTGCTATGATTTGGGTGTTGGAAGAGTTTGATCCTAGAAAATAAAATTTTGAAGACATTTGGAGCTCATTTTCTTTGGTTTTTCCATTCCTCATCCCTTTCCTCTCTTGTATTCTAACATGGGTCCAAATATTTTGTGTATTTATATCTTTTGGATGATTATGAGTAGTTAAATACTTTGTTCTAGAGCTATTTGGAACTCTTGTGTGGATTAACATTATGTTCCTCCTCTCTTGTTGTAATTAATAATATTTATGTGTTTATTTTACTATTTTCTTAATGCTTCTAAGTGATTAGTCACTATTTAGACATTGAGTTCACTGGATTAATGTTTGAAAAGACTAAGTTGAGTATAAAACTTGAGTAAAGTAGTACAAGAACTTGATATTTGCATGTTGAATTGATAATTTTGCTAGTAAAATAAAAATATACTTGCTAACCTTGCATAACCATATTAGGATTGGTATTTAAAATTAAGTTTTATTAATTGTAATAAGAGATTGAGCGATTAATTTAACTAAATACTTGTTCATGACTTGAGAGAACTTGTCTATGTATCTTTTAGAACTTTAGATTAACACTTATTTTTATTAAAAGCATTTAGGAGATGAGGTAATTTTGGTATTATGAGATTTAAGGGAGTAAATAATCCTAGGTCCTAATTTATGCTTGAAATCTATGAATCAATTTATTTACTTTATTTACCAATTTTAATTTAGTTTGCTACATTAACGTTCACCTAATTTTGTTTGGTTCAACTTAATTGAACTCATTTAGTTTTTTATTTGATCATTGTTTTTAAGCAAATTCTCTAAGAAATGATAATTTACTTTCATTATATTACTTGCTACAACCTGTGCATTTACGGTGAGTAACAAACTTCTTGTGAGGCTCGCAAATCTCAGACACACATTTTTTCTAGCCTCGCATTTGGATCCAAATCCATGATAGTGTGAGAGCTTCCTAGTGGGAAAGGAAGAGGAGAAGGAAAAAGAGGATAATGAAGAGGAAGTGAGAGCAAAATTGCTGCACTTTTAAAAGTTTTGAGGCAACTAAGTTTCAAATAAAAGTTCAGTATACCCAACGCTTCCAGAGAAAAAGTTATAAGGCAACTATGTTATTTACCTCTTGATCAAATTTCAATTAATAGACAATGCTTGTGATTTTTAATGATAGGATAAAAATGTTTTCTTTTTAAAAAAATTTAGAATGTCTGGAATTTTGGGAGAAAAAGTTCCTGAATATTTTGCATTTTAATTTTTTATTTAAGCTGATTGATGATGGCATGATATGTTGCATCCCGAGCTTGTAGGCCTCGAGATGTAACTTTTTTGGTTGGTGTTTGCTCCGTTGATAGCCATTTAATTGCACAATTGGCTTTCCCCTGATCCACTTCATATATCATCAGTGCCTTCACGCGTGTAGGGTGGAAAGTAAGCGGGAAGGAAATGCCATACGAAGATACTGCGAAAAAATATAATTTTTTTTTTTTTAAAAAGGTAGCCGCGCGTGCGGGAGGCAGGCCGGAAAGGAAGCAAGCGAGGTAGGACTCGGAAGCACGGTCTAACGATGTTGATTATTGCGTGTTCTTTCCACGACCCCACAAAAAAAAAAAGAAAAAAAGAAAACTTTCATCATTAATTTACATGCATCCATCCATTCTAATTTCTCATTTCTAGTAGGATTTTTTGCTACTGCTATTTTTGTGTGCTTTTAAAATTTAAAGCGATACTACCATATTACTTTATTTATTAATCCATGGTAAGATTTTTTTGAAAGAGAATTTCAATTAAGAACCACCATAAAAATTTAATTATAAAAATTTTAAAATTTTAATTTAATCTAAGAAAGAAAAGTTAAAAGAAATAATGAAAAAATTAAAATATATTTAACTTGCCATTCAAAATTATTAATTGTTAATTTTCTTACTATATTTGTTAATTTATCAATATCACTTATAAATTACATTCTTTTATCAAACAATTAGTAAGATTAATTATTAGTTTACTAAATTTACTTATTAGTTTACTAACATCAGTTATAAATTATAAGACTTTTCAATAATTTATAATTTATATTAGTAAATTATAAAACTTGTCAAAAATTTATAACTGATGTTAGAAAATTAATAAATAAAATTATTAATTTAACAATTAATGTTCTTATTTATGATTGAACATTCAGCGTGAAGTCTTATATAATTATTGATATATCTTCTAATATAATTTGTAACTCATATTCAAAAATTAACAAGTAAAATAAAAAAATTAATAACTAGTATTTATGCATAATAAGTGAAAGATATTTTAATTTTTTTACTATCAATTTTTTTTAATTTTTTCCTAAGCTAAACTAAAATTTTAAAATTTTATAAACCCATAAAAAATTAAGTCTTCGATGTAATCCCTACTTGAAATTCTCCTTTTTCTTTATTTATTCGACTGAGTGCGTCAGAGACCCGAATAAAATGTATTAATTTGCCGTATTTAGCAAGGACGGTTCCAAACCCAGCAGGACTGTCCAGTGAATGCGCTGCATTCTTCAACTAATACATTCAGTTTCATGAACATTGTATTGCCCAGTTACATATTTAATTTATTTTAACGTCATTTCGTCCACGAGGCTCGATTATAACCACTAGTTACTGTATCTGACTTCATCTTCGGCGTCTGGTTGGCTCTGTTGTCTTTTCTTTTCGATTGGCATCACCGTCTATTTCGTTGCTAATCTTTTTTTAAGATCTGCACAGTAAACCGAATTCTGATTAAAAAAGAAAACAAAGTTCAAAAGAAAGAGTTTGTATGCAATGCAACCAATCAATCACGCAGCTTGGATAGGAATTAGG